GATTCACAGTGCGGCAGTGAAGGCTGTCTGTGAAAACATGCAAAGGGCACGCAGCGTCACCAAAGAGGTGGCTGGTAACAGTGACGTGCCAGTCATGTTTGACGGCACATGGCAAAAAAGAGGCCACAAAAGCCACAATGGTGTGGGAACTGTAGTGTCCTTGGACACTGGTTTGTGCCTGGACTATGAAGTGCTTTCCAACTTCTGCCTGGCGTGCAGTTTGCATAACGACATGGGAGGCGATGAAGAAACATGGCAGGCGTTTCATCATCCCGTTTGTGAGAAGAATTGCGACTGTTCTTCGCATGCCATGGAGGCCGAAGCTGCAGTGCGCATTTGGCAGAGGACTGTGGACTATGAGACACCCCTGCGGTTCACCATCTTCCTAAGCGATGGAGACAGCAAGGCCTACAACGGGGTCTGTGATGCCAACGTGTACCCTGACACTCCAATTGAAAAAGAGGAGTGCACCAACCACGTGGCGAAACGTCTGGGCACCGGCCTGCGGAAGCTGCCAACGCCACTTCCACGAGGGGAGAAGCTGAAGGAGACCACCATCCAGAAGCTTCAAACTTACTTTCAGGTGGCCATTGTGAACAATCGGGGAAATGTCCACAAGATGTACACTGCCATATGGGCCTCATGTTTGCACTCGTGCTCAACAGACGGTGCTGGAAGTCACAAGTTCTGTCCTGCAGGCCCAGACTCGTGGTGCAAGCACCGACGTGCTGAGGCGCAGGGCCAGCCTGCACCGTGCCACACCCCCCTCCTGACCAAGGCCCAGGGTTTGGCAGTCCTCCCAATCTACAAGCGTCTCACAGATGCGAAGCTGCTTGCCCGGTGCCTCCACGGCAAGACACAGAACGCGGCCGAGTCCCTGAACAGCAAAATATGGCTGCTGTGTCCAAAGACCCGGTTTGCTTCCCGGACTGCTGTGGAAACAGCCACAGCCATTGCAGTCCTGTGGTTCAACCGGGGCCACGCGAGCTTTGAAAAGGTGCTGGAAGAGCTTGGGGTGCTTCCTTCGGAGGCCCTGGTTACCCTCAGCGACCGCCGAGACAGCATGCGCATGCACAAGATGAATGTGCGTCAGACCGCTGAGGCGAGGGCACACCGTCGCAGTGCAGCCAAGAGGGCCCTGGTGGAAGAGTCCTGCCGCACCAGCCGGGAAGGGAAAACCTACGGTGCTGGAGAGTTTTAGACAACTGATATTCCCTCTGGACATGTGTGTATGTGTTCAGCACAAGTTTCGTGCTACTGCGTTTTTCATTTTTGTAAATACAGACTTTCAAACTTTCAAACGCGTTTTTCTCATTTCGCAATTTTGGCCAATTTGCATTTTTTGCGGGAAGTGTTTCGGGCACTTAGAATGGTCATACGACGACGAAATTTGGCACACACATTGAGGAGAGTGCGTAGGGTGCCGATATCTACTTGAATCAGCACAACCTATCAGCTGTAAATATCTATTAATAAATTTAATGGTGGTCGAGTGGAAAAAAAAGGGTAGTTTGCTACACAGATGTTTTTTTCATAGTTTCAAAGTTGGAGCACAATTTCTAGCTAGATATCGGCACTCTATGGCTAATAGGGAGCAAAAGGAGCCATTGAACAACTCTCTGCATGAACATTTAGTATGCGCGAAAGTTCCCGGAAAACTTATCAAGTTTCACCATTACTTGAAACACAACTCCCAAACTATTGCACTTATGTAAAAACTGATTACAGATTTGGAATCAGGAGGAAAAACTGCATCAGTGGTCCAATTTCTGAAGCTCTAAGTTGAATAACAAAAAAAAAGTGCTTTCGAGGAGCGTCTCCCCTTAAGTGCCTTTCTAGAGTCTGCCAGCGTCGACGACACTGTTGTAGCCGACTGGACAGCAGATGTTCTACCTGCACACCTTGAAGGCTACGCACTGCGGGATGTATTCAATGCCGATGAAAGCGGCATTTTTTATAAGTTAAAACCAGGCAAGACTTTTTGTTTTGGCGATGACACATGCCACGGCGGCAAGAAATCTAAGGAGCGCATTAGCGTTCTCTTCTGCTGCAATATGGACGGGAGCGAGAAAGAAAAACTCCTGGTGATAGGGAAGTCGAGAAGACCACGGTGCATGCGCAATATGCACGTTCCCGTGGACTGGCACTCCAACAAAAGTGCTTGGATGACAAAAGATATTTTTAACAAATGGCTACTCGATTTTGACAGCAAGATGGTGAAGCAGAAAAGGAATGTGATACTATTCCTGGAAAATTGCTCAAGCCATATGCAGCTTCCCGGGCTTCATGCAACGAAGGTGGCGTACTTTCCACCGAACACAACGTCAAAAGCTCAGCCGATTGACCAAGGTATTGTGCACTCAGTGAAGTCACGGTACCGCTCACACCTTGCTGAGCGTTTGCTTTTTGACATGCAGCAGAAGCGGGACTCGGTGATCGACCTGAAATTTGCCGTGCAGGTGCTGTCAACTGTATGGGCGCAGATTCAGCCAGGAATCGTAAAGAATTGCTTTAGGAAAGCAGGTTTCCGAGTTGACAGCGACTGCACAGACTGCTTGCCACAGGAAGACCAACCAGATCCTGGTGTGTGGTCAGCTGTGGAGGAGGCCTTTGGTAGCCAACAGTTTTCGGATTACGTCACTGCAGATGATGACCTGGTCAGCTCAGAGCAGCTGACAGATGAAGAGATTGTAGCCCAAATTCGCCAAGTGCCTAATGCTGAGCAAGAAGAAGAACAAAATGAAGAAGGCAACTCAGGGATTGTCACAGAGGAGGTCACAACTTCTCAGGCGTTGGACTACATTCAAGGGCTCGAAAACTATTTTGAACAACAGGCCACGACTTCAGATGAAATGAACACACTTGTCATGATGGAGACACGTATAGTGTCTAAAGCTGTCCGCCACACAATACAGGCAAAGCTGACTAGCTTCTTTCAAAACATTTAAGAAATCCGCTATTTGACTATGTTTGTGACTTTCAATCCTCCCCTGTTATAACACTCATTACGTGTTTACGTAAATGTCTGTTGTATAAGTACATGAATTGTACAGACTCCTTTTACAACAGACCAAATCCTCTTCACTCTGAAGGTCTGTTGTAACGAGGTTATACTGTATTTGTATACACATGAATACTCGACCGTAAAAGTATTTTATGGTATGGTGTCTTATATTTTTGACACTTGCAGGTGCTTGAGCTTTTCTGTCTCAAGGTTTTTCTGTCTGACCAGAATCCACTTGCTTTTGAAGGGTCTGAATTAGGAAATGAGCAACAAGAAATGTAAAAGAGTAAAGCCTTGCGTGATGTGAGAGAAGCCACGGAAATGGTCAAGCGCATTCTGATGTATGCAATAAAGTTTGTTTATCTCGTAATATGGTGCATTTATTTATTTTATTTCTGTATTGGGAATGAAATGACTATCGAACGTTGGATTACCACACATGCTATGCTTTAATACTGATTTGGCTGGTGTGAACCAAGTTATCTCCTTTCGCGTGTAATGAGGCCCACGAATAAAATGAGCAATGCGCACAGCAGCATAATTAAACTCCAGTTTCACACTATACCCCGCGACAACTTTCTGTGGCAGCACAGCCAAGGCTACGGAGCCGAAGCACGCTTGTCTTACTGCGCCACAGCATGTAGTCCCTCAACGAAAACGTTTGTATACTGTTCTGGGTAACTAAAATTTTACCATTCGTCACTTACATTTTTCGCGGACTTATTTTTTAATTAGTGAATAAAAATGTTGTGCAGTAGAAAAAATTTCGTTTCACGCTCTCTCAGGTTTTTTTGGGGTTTTTTGGCTTCCGTCGCCTTTTTACCTCACCGCATTCCTCACTGTCAAAGATGGCGTCCGCCGGTTACAGCTCGTCAACATCGCTTACGGAGGAAACACCGCTGCGTGCCGCGAGTCCACCAGCTGCGCAGCCGTACCAGGCGTTGTCAAATCAAAAGCTGTCCGTACAGGCCAAGAAGGTGGCGTACAACGTTTACGCGCAAGTAAGGAAAAGCGACCCGCAGCTGTCTGTGAGAGCCGCATGTCGGAAAGTCAGCGAGCTCACTGGTGTTAGCGAGCGCAGTGTCTTCCGGATTAAGCTCGACGTTAACAGTGGAACCCTGAAGTCACCGAAGCGCAAGCGCCTGCGCCTCCCCGCCATGGATGACCGTGCGAAAACCGGGAAGACAAGACTGGAGCTTCACGACAGCTTCTCCCTCGCAGCTCTACGAAGAAAAGTGCATCAATACTTTCTGAGGAATGAACTCCCAACAGCTGCAAAACTGGCTCAAGATGTAACCAGTGACAGTGACATGAACATGCCTAAAATGAGCGTGCGAACGATGCAAAGGCTGCTTAACGATATCGGCTTTTCCTTTCGCAAACGGAAGAGAAACTGTGAGCTTTTGGAAAGAGACGACATCATCACGCGACGGCGGTACCTGCGTACCACCCGACAACTTCGCGCTCAAAAACGGTACGTGCATCATGAGTTGTGTAACCATTGCATGAATAATTGAATGCATCATTCACCCAGCAACCTGGGACCACGCGTCAGTAAATCAAGTCACAATATTATTAAAAATTGCTCTCGTGTTCCCAAAGATGCGACTCGCGTTTCCTGCAGCGAAACGCGAGCAAACGCGAGCCGAAACGCGAGCAATTTTTAATAATTGTGACACGAGCCGAGTTTCGCTGCATTCGCGGCGCTTCGCTGCAGATGACATGCTTCATTTTTGTTGTTTATTCTTCCAGACCCATATACTACCTTGACGAAACCTGGGTCAACACCGGACACACAAAGGATAAAGTATGGGAAGACGCGAACATCACGACACGGGAGGAGGCCTTTGGGCAAGGCCTGACCACAGGGCTTCGCGCACCAAGCGGCAAAGGTGGCAGGCTCATCCTTTTGCACGCCGGCAGTGAGGACGAGTTTCTGAATTCTGCATGCCTTCTCTTCCGAGCAGCAAAATGATCTGAGGACTACCACACCGAAATGGACGGGCCGCGCTTTGAGAAGTGGTTCGGTGAACAACTTTTGCCCAATATCAAGCCGTGCAGTGTCATTGTAATGGACAACGCACCGTACCACAGCGTCCGCCTCGAGAGAGTTCCAACATCGTCATCTCGAAAGGCTGACATTCAGTCGTGGCTGACAGAAAAGAACATCGCGTTTTCACAAGACCAATTGAAAGCTGAGCTGTTGGATTTGGTGAACGACCACAAGAAGATGTTTTCCGCCTATCGCGTGGATGTTTTGGCGAAGGCTGCCGGTCACGACGTCGTGAGGCTTCCTCCGTATCATTGCGAATTTAACCCGATCGAACTGATATGGAGCCAGGTGAAAGGTTACGTCGCTGCTAACAACACAACATTCACCCTTGCCGGCGTTGAAAAACTGGTGCGTGAAAGCATCGATCGCGTAACGCCAGACAACTGGCTCCAGGCATGTGCTCATGTGAAAAAAATCGAAGAGGACTTGTGGCAACGTGACGGCCTCATCGACTCAAAGCTCGACCAGCTTATAATTCCACTCGGGTCAGAGTCCAGCACCGAGAGTGACGGTAGTGACAGTAACATGAGCGAACTGGAATACCTCACATGAATGCAACCACAGTCGTGAATGTAGACACAGTGAATGTAAACCATAATACCGGGTGTTCAAAATTAAGCTTTATGATTTTTTTAAAATTAGGCGCTCGAAGGCACGTGAGAACCACTTGTGCAAATAAGTTAAGCGGCCAGGGGGACAGAAAGTTAGATGATAATTATCGCTGTCAGCAGCCCAATTAACTAAAATTTAATAATTAACTTTTTACTGGCTGCGGTAAGTTGGCATGTTTATATTGAAAAAATGTAGGCAGTGGTGTTTGTACACAGTTTCAGTTGGAAGATTTTTTCTAGCACGCCTGTGTTCCGAGATATCCGGCTCCAAAGTTTAATTGTCTTTCGCACGATTACGCATGCAAGAGGGTGAGGGTCCGCGCAAAGCTCCTCCCTAAAGTGACGCATCTGTTGCGTGTGGTGTTTAGTGTGTGAAGAGGGTGGAAGCGTAGGCATAGGTGATAGCAATTACCCTTGCCCTCTTCGGCCGGCGAAATCAAAATGTGACAGCGCGGTGCGCCATGAGCCTTACGCATGATCCTGATGAACGCGATAACAGGAGACCATTTTTCGCGACGTTTTTTCGTGACTTTAGATCACACTGAGACATCTTCTTGTGAACGCGTTAGCAGGACCGTCCTGCACTAGGGTGCCTCCGGTTAGAGCACAGCGTCTCTGCATTGAAGGTCTACCAAGGAAATCCACGTGGAGTCCTTTCGAGCTAATATGGCTGCTTCTGGCGTGAGGTATTCTACCAAAGTAAAAGTAGACGTGGTGCTTGCAATGGCTGAAATGAATGGCAACGCTTCGTTAGCAATGGAGCTTTACGCGTCTCGCCACCCACACCGTCCCCTTCCAACAAGGCCCACTTTCACAAACCTGTTTCGACGCTTCTGCACAACAGGCTCTGTCCACCTTCCGAGACGGACCAGGAAGGCAATCGTCGATGAAGACTTTGAAATCGACGTTGTCGCGTGCGTAACCTCGATGCCAGAGCTCAGCATCCGACAGATTGCCGATCAGTGCGGTCGCAGCATCGGAACAGTCACAAATGTTTTAAGAAAGCACAAGTTCCATCCATATCACGTTTACCTTCATCAGGACCTAAATGAGGCGGACTTTGAAAGGCGAGTTGACTTCTGCAATTGGGGCCTCATCAAAACTGATCAAGAAAATGACTTTTTGCACAGAATAATTTGGACTGATGAAGCTCGGTTTTGCCGAAATGGAAGTGTTAATCTTCACAACGCCCATTATTGGGCACAAGAAAACCCACACTGGCTGAGGCAGCACAAGCATCAAGTTCGCTGGAGTGTGAATGTGTGGTGCGGCATACTCGGGGACAGGATCATCGGACCTCACTTTTTTGAGGACAACTTGAACGGAAAGATGTACACAGAAGAAATATTAGGTGTTGTCATTGATGATCTTGTCTGCAGTCTTTCCCTGAATGACCTGCGCCAAGTATGGTTTCAGCACGATGGAGCACCACCACATTTTTCTACCAGGGCGAAGAACTGGTTGGACAGACGTTTTCCACAACAGTGGATTGGGCGCGCAGGAGCGATGTTTTGGCCACCAAGATCACCTGACCTTTCTCCGCTCGACTTTTTCCTTTGGGGCTACGTTAAAGATCGAGTTTACGTAACAGAGCCCAGCGATGTTAATGACATGAAGGACAGGATAACATCTGCCTGTGCGAGTATTCCTGCAGAAGTACTGCGCCGAGTCATCGAGTCGACGCGACAGCGGTTCATGCTTTGCGTTGCTGCCGAAGGCAGGCATTTTGAACACTTTTTGGGGCATTGACGTCTTGAGAGGTGAAGAGTTTCGATGAGATTTGTGCATGACCGAAATATGCTTATGTAGCAGCAGGAAATATGCGTTAGCAAGGATAAAACTGTTTCAGTTATTATTGGTGGAGTTGTTGCTCTTGTTTCAATAAAAGTTACAGTACTCGGACATCAGCAGTCACGCTATTCGCGTAGCCCAGGCAACGACCACGCATGCTTCTCTAGTGATTATTACGCACGCGCACTGGCATCCAGATTCTCCGCTCGCACCATTATCTCGGCATGGTATCTGCCACTATCGTTAGAGGCTCTGCAGTTGCGTGTTACGACACTGGTTGCAAGCGTTCTTCGATTTTTGATTTCGACGGCCGAAGAGGGCAAGGGTAATTGCTATCACCTATGCCTACGCTTCCACCCTCTTCACACACTAAACACCACACGCAACAGATGCGTCACTTTAGGGAGGAGCTTTGCGCGGACCCTCACCCTCTTGCATGCGTAATCGTGCGAAAGACAATTAAACTTTGGAGCCGGATATCTCGGAACACAGGCGTGCTAGAAAAAATCTTCCAACTGAAACTGTGTACAAACACCACTGCCTACATTTTTTCAATATAAACATGCCAACTTACCGCAGCCAGTAAAAAGTTAATTATTAAATTTTAGTTAATTGGGCTGCTGACAGCGATAATTACCATCTAACTTTCTGTCCCCCTGGCCGCTTAACTTATTTGCACAAGTGGTTCTCACGTGCCTTCGAGCGCCTAATTTTAAAAAAATCATAAAGCTTAATTTTGAACACCCGGTATTGTGTTCTGTACCTGTGCACATGTCGTTTTAAAGGGACCGACAACTGGCCAGAATATACCGAATACCAACCGAATACCTGCTTTTAACGTCATAAAAAATTCTCATCAAAAATGTTCCACGGCGTTTTCCCCGTTTCCATTGCATGATTGGGCACTGTCACAGATATTTCCGTTGAAATAAAGAAAACGGGCACCTTAAGGAAGGACGCGCCCTTTGAAAACCGAAAAATCGCGAAAAAGTCGATTTTTTGAAAACCACATACTCGGGCAGTATGACTCATAAACTGCCTCTACTGTAAATATCAATGTCTAATTCATCGCAAAAGTACGTCAAATAAATTTTATAACATGCCGCGGCAGCCGGCAAGCGGCGAGCGAGCGCCAAAAATACCCCAACTTCGCGCGCTCGCCATTTCCCAACCGCTCGGCCGATCGCCGCCATCTTGATGTTAATTTGCTCGTGAATTCTTGCGCTTTTTTTTTTTTCGCTACCCGCGGCAGTGGCGGTGGCGCTCCGAGGCGGGAGTCGCTCACGATTGGGGGGCTCGCGGAAGCTTTCGAATGTCCCGCTGCCTGGATGCGAAGCCGCGATTGGACAAAGCGCGTGCCTCTCGAGGGAATGGGGGAGCGCGCGGCTCCTATTGGCTGCTGCGCGCGATGACGTAGCTGCTTCTCCGGCATGCGCCGGCTCGTCGTCTCCACCGGCGCTTGCAATGCCGGCGTTCTTTGTGTGCCCCGTTTGCCATCATTCCGATCGGTCGTCACACGTGCTCCTCTATCCTTTACCGTCTTCACGAGACGATCACTACCGTCCTCACGAGACGATCTTCCGCCGTGTTCACGGGACGCGGATTGTTGCGCTGACGGTCACGATGGGCATTTCGAAGTTCAAGACTCGGCACGCGTTTGGTTCAAGAAAGCGTCAGCTGAAGCTCGTACGCATGGCGAAGCTCACCTGCACGCCCACGCGCGGCGACAGTTGCACCGATGCTTTCGCTTCATCTTTTAAAGACGATTGCGTCGACGCTTCTAGCGACGAGACTTCTACACCATCGGCACAAGGATCCGTCGTGACGAGTGAGGCTGGTGTTTCGTGCTTAAGTGCGCCTGGTGTGTCGCGCTCGCCAACCGCATTGATTCCAGCCCCGAACAGTGAGACCGTGTCGTCGACTGTGCACATCCAAACACGTTTTCGGACGTGCGAGGAGTTGGCAACGGCGGAGAGAGAACGTGCTGCTGTGCATCGAAAGCTTGGCCCTATGCCAGCGACCGAGAGGAAGTTTCAAGCGATGATGCCTGAACCCGAAGCTGCCACCGCTACGACCGAAGGCGAGAGATATTTCCTCGTGCAAGGGGATGCCCTTAGCAACATGCTGTCCAAGACCCCGTGCCCGCGCTGCCTCGCGACCGGGATGAAAGTTCAAGGAGGCACCCAGCTTGGACTTGCCACAAAGCTTGAGCTGGTATGTCCACATTGTGGAATAGTTTCAAGTTTGTGGAGCTCTGCTCGTCAGAACGAGTCAAGGGCCTTCGACGTGAATATAAGAGCCATTACAGCCATGAAACAAATAGGGAAGGGACAGACAGCCCTCAACGACTTTTGGGCAACTATGAATGTTTCCCACCGTGGCCTGCACCACAGAACTTTCCAGAGGCACCTGAAGCAATTCAGAGAACCACAGCAACAGACCCTGGATAAATTCTATGAAGAATCGGCTTCTGCTGTGAAAAAGGTGTACAAGGAGATGGACCCATCTTTCTGCAAGGACATTACAGTGAACTATGATGGCACGTGGCATAAGCGCGGACATACATCTCACATTGGAGTTGGTGCAATCATCGAGTATCACACAGGCCTCATCTTGGATGCTGTAGTTTTATCTAATCAGTGTCTCGGCTGCCACGTAGGACCGAAGCCTGAAGACGAGGGCTATGCAAGCTGGTTGAAGCACCATGTGTGCCAAAAAAACACTGATGCCAAGTCTGGGAGGATGGAGGTTGAAGCAGCTGTAACTCTGTTCTCACGTTCACTGTCCAAGCATAACCTCCGGTATACAACCATTGTATCTGATGGGGACAGCGCCACATTCTCTGCCCTTCAACAAGAAAATGTTTATGGGCTAGTCCCTATTGTGAAAGAAGAATGCTTGAACCATGTCTGGAAGAGGATGGGCACAGCCCTACGTAATCTTGTGCAGAAAAGCGAACAGGCTCTGGGAGGGAAGGGCAGATTGACAAAAGCCCTTATTGATAAACTCACAGACTATTATGGCTGGGCACTGCGGAACAATTCAAACAATGTGGCTGCAATGCAGCGTGCAGTGATGGCGTCATATTATCACGTCACCTCAACTGACGAGGATCCTCACCATGACTTGTGCCCGGAAGGTGCAGACTCGTGGTGCCGTCATAATGCCTGCAAGGGGAATGGCGTGCCACCTCCAAAGCACAAATACAATCTTCCGGGCTACGTTGCAGAAGCGCTGCTGCCAGTCTACCAGCGCCTTTCGCAGGCTTCTCTACTGCAACGCTGCCTGGGAGCAAAGACGCAAAATGCATCGGAGTCATTCCATTCTGTCCTATGGTCCTTGATGCCCAAGGAGCAACATGCATCATTGATTGCTGTCGAGACAGCACTGCATGACGCAGTTTTGCGGTATAATGCCGGCTGCTACAGGGTCACCCAAGAGTTGTCGTCATCAGTGGGACTCACACCTGGCCACCTAACCATTCAACGAGCTGCGGAGAAAGACTCTCTGCGTCTGAGAAAGGCTCAGAAACGGATGAATGAGAAGCAGGAAAAGCGGCAAAGAAAAAGAGAGCCTAAGGACACATCTAGCTACTCTGCAGGGTCATTTTAGACCATAATAAATGTTTGAAACTTTCGAAGTCAATTTTCTCAGAATTACTTTTTTGGCCAGTGAGGCTGCTTAGTCAGGTGATCTCTCTTGAACTGCTGGTCTGATTTCTATCAGGTTTTTTTTTATTATGCACCTTAATAAATTGCCCAGGGCAAGACAAGCCCGCTTTTTCAACTTATTGTGTCTGTAATTTGTAATAATTAACTAAAACTTCATTGATGAGAGCCAAATTGTGAACACTAAATTCAGTGCTCTGCTAACATTTTTTGGCAAGGAAATTTAAAAAAAGGGCTCTGTCTTGCCCTAAAGCACCTATTCAGGAATCATCATAGTGAATTTCACAGTGCTAGCACATTTTTCAAATTCTCCAGACCCTGACTAAGATACCCATGTGGACTACCCTGATAAATGGCTGTAACTTAGGAACCAGTGAACATAACTGCATGAAACTTTGTGGTTATTCAAATGGCTTTGCTATTAGTGTACCCTGAAAATTTCATCAAGATATCTCAACAAACAAAAAAGTTGCCCTTCGAAGGTAGCCTCCCCCCTTTAAAATTGCTTCATCATCATCATCAGCCTGTTTAAGTCCACTGCAGGACGAAGGCCTCTCCCAACGATTTGCAATCCACCCTATCCTGAGCTTATCGGTCCCTTTAATGTTTTTCCCACAATAAAAGTGCGCCGACATTCGTTACAAATAGAGTCTGTTCTCGTAGAGGGCTTTACGCTTTGCTATATTCCTTCGCAGTAAAAGATCGCATTACAAGTCGTCGCGCTGCGTTTAGACACAGCCTGTGTCTTTTCCGGACGAGATGAACATCAAATTGAGTACTTATTGCCGAATCCATAAATTTTTTTTCAAATACTGCTGCAAATAAAATAAATTTTATGAACAGTTAGATCACTCTTGCAAATTAGATAGATATACATGTGTATATGCCTTCAATGAACGCCATTCACGCGTGATTAAGCTCGATGGTGCTTGCGCGCAGATCGTAATTCACCGCATTTTCACATGGCACCGTTGTGGGAATGCGCTGACGCGGACTGCGCTGGTGAAATCGAAACCGAAACACCCGTCGAAGCGGTCGGACTACTTGGCGCAGTAGCACTTGCGCATAGGCTCCGCCCACGTAGCCTTGGCCGTGCTGCCACAGAAAGTTGTCGCCGGGTATAGTAGTTCATCAATGAGGCATTCCCGAAAGGCTTGTTTGCTTTCCGTTGGAAGATAACTGTATACCTCGTATTTGAAAATCCCACTGTGTGCGTGCGATGCTGAAGAACTGCATTATAAGCTAAAGTTGTATATAATTCGGTAACACGTTTGCACTGCAGTGAAGCGTTGTCCCAGCCGAGCGCACAGAACAGCCGCGATCCCTGATGGCGCCCCTGACCGCTGTGCTACCCCATGTCATTCACGCGAATGGCGGCCAACTTTTGTTGCCCGTCCACCACACATCCCCGTCTAGCCACCATAGCTATGGAGGACACAGTGGATAAAGAGACCATCAACCAGCAAGACAACAACTTTTGTGAGTGGCAAACTGTGCTTCGTGCTTATCGCAATCGAGCTCCAAGTTCTAATTGGGCCTCAAAACCCCTTTCAGCGGCCTAGACTCCAGCACAGCCAAACACCAGAAAGGCCAGCGCACCGTGTGCAAACACTCGAACCACACTCAAGGAGGCGACGCATCTGCTAGCACAACACGCTCTGACGAGCAAAAAAGCAAGCGACTCACCGCACTGCCGGCAGGCACAACCCGGTTGGTTTTTCGCCCGAGAGGCAAGCTCTCCTTGGAAGAGCAGCCAGTCAAGTCTGCTACCGGCAACGCATACCACTGTTGAGGGCTCAACGCTGGGCGAACTGCATATAAAAATACATCCCACAAACAATATTTTCACAGTGGCGCCTGCAGAGGAAGCAACAGATCTGTTTCTAGTGAAAGTACAGGCGATCGCTTAAAATGGAGAGCAATGCCCCATAGCCGCGTACATTGCAGCCCTCCCTACAGCCCTCAGGGGTGTAATTTGAAGGGTCTACTTGAACAAGACACCTGAGCAGATACTAAATAACTTGCACTGCCGCGTTCCGGACTCCAACATCATAACCACCAGATGCATTAGAAAATCAGGCTGAATTTTGATTACCTTCACCTCTGATCTTGTACCCCACACCATCAAGTACATGTGTGTGGTACACCGGTGCACCAAGTACAGGGAAAGCCCTGATGCCTGCAACAAGTGCCGGAAGCATAGTCACAAATACGGCATGGACCTCCTCCAAAAAGTGGACTCGGCCCCCGATGGAGCGAAAAACACGAGAAGCGAGAAACCCCTTGCACACCCACATGCACCCTCTGTTGAGGCAGCCATCTTACCGACATAGGCTCCTGCAAGACCATGACACCCTAGCCTCGACAACACACGGACGTTGTCGAAAGCTCAGCCACCAGTGCACACTACGAAGAACTTTCCGCCCCAGGTGCCTCATCAACATCACCAGGCGAGCCTGGATCAAAACCACCAGTGTGCAAAAAACATCACAACTGGAAGAAGACTTAGCACTCCTGTGCGAAGAGGTAAGGCATCTAAGGTCAGTCATTAACTCTATGACACACAACGCCCTTCCAAACCCCCTAACACCTTCGACCCATCCCACAACCTATCCACTCCCTCTACCATAACCACCCGAGCTTTCTGTACCCAGTCCCCAAAAGAAACACCGGCCAGATAACACTCCAGACGAAGACTTAGACTACAAATTTAACGTGTTTGCCAACTAAACGCCAATAATATGGCTCTAACGCAGAAATACAGAGAAACTGCCATCGCAACGATCACAGAGCAGATTATAAGTCAGGTAACCACAGCCATTTGGCAACAACTTCCTTAAATAATTGCTCAAGTGTCTTCGCAAGGCCCTACTGCAAGTACCATGGCAGCTTCCATCCTTCGCCCTCCTTCTCTACAATATGGCGTGGCTGACGGCCAATCATTAACACCTACACATTATGCAATGGAACTACACGGAGTTTCACCACAAACGAGACCCCCTGTAGCAGCTACTCTCTGGTTCCTTTACACTCTGACTTAATAGCACTCCAAGATGCCGGTACGAACGTGTCACTGCCCAGATACACTTTCGTGCCTTCCTACACAACTCCAAGCCCGAGGGATACTACGTATGTTTACAATTCTGTGCCATACACTTGTAATGTAGTAAACTCTCAGGTAGCTCAGACATTCTTCAAATTAATACCATTCAATCACAGATGTAATCCCCTCTTCATCCTCAATTGTTACTTTCTTCCAAAACAACCGGTCTCAGAACTTATCACGGTCATTGAGGTCGCCTCTACCATAGCAAAGAGGAACCCCCTCATCATCTTAGGGAACTTCAATTGCACGCATGTAAACTGGGGATATATACGTACCAACAAGAGAGGGGCAGAATTATACAACATGTTTCATATGCAGGGCATAACCATATGCAATGATTTCAGTACTCCATCTCGAATCAGAAATATTGTCAGCGCCGACACTAGTCCAGACCTTACTTTTGGCCGCAATATTTCCGAGCCAGTCTGGTGAAATTCAAATAAAACCTTTGGCAGTGATCAATACGTGGTTACTATAGAGCTCGACTTCACAAACAGCTTTGCATCTATCATGTCGGTCAGACTCGGCTGGGATAATTTTCGTACGCACAGAGAGGCCAAACCAGTCGAGTTGCCTTTTCAGCTTCCACGCGTGAATGACAGAGCTCGAACAGGATGTCCAGGCTTTTACACAAACATTCGACGCCACCCTACTAACTCCGACAATAGACAGCAGGTTAGAGCATCTACTCTAAGAGCAGGCTAGTTTACTCACGCGATCGAAAACACAAAGACTAAATAATAGACTTAAGGGGGCCCTGAAACACTTTTTGAGCATGGTCAGAAAACCCTGCCTATCAGTAGTAGAGGCTCCCGATAACACGCGAGCCAGCATGCGGCCTGGAATTGACAATAAATAAGCTAAAAATTGCTTTCTCTTCTCTCGACATACGAACGAAGATACTCAAAAATCACACGTAGCAAACCCATCTATCAGCCATTTGCTGATTTGGACATGGCGCGCTCGTTCATTACAGAGATCACCATGGGAGGCCACGACCTGTCCACGTGTACGCGTGCGATCACACTGAAAAACCTGTGCATTAAAAGAAAAAAAAAGAAAAAAGTGCTCGAAGTCACAAGGCGCGCATAACGTATTTATTTGCCTTTTTCAACCCTCCTTACTTAGCTTCCAGCGCTTTCGTCGGGATGAGAGAAGAGAGAATGCGTTGGTAGCGAGTGACTAATTTTAGTAACTCTGCTCGTAGAAGACGCCTTCTAAAAATTTTTGCGGCATTGAACTCATGAGGCAATAAGCTCTTCCAGTGCTTTCATTCTATAGTTACTTGAAAAAGTGTTTCAGGGCCTCTTTAAGCTTAAAATGGCGTAGCTTCAAAAAGAAATTGAAGCGCACAGTGCCGCTCTTTGTGAATCTAATATAGAACCAAATGTGTGATGGACTGCGAGGTGATCTTTCCTCATCTAGAGCATGGCATCTTCTTCGACACATGATAGACCTCAGTCAAAGTAAAAAGCAAACAAGGCTTACACTCAAAAGGCTTGCCAACCAAGTTGACAGAATCAGCAGGCACTGTTAAACAGACTCAAGCCAACTTATACCACTGTCGGCCAAGCAATATATCCCGACTACATTGGTGCCGATAAACCTTTCATCGACTCTCCGATATAGAAGACCGTAGTCAGAGCAGCGCTTTTTAAGCTCAGGATCTCAACCCCTGGCACGGACCAGATCACTAATGTCGTGCTCAGAAACCTAGATGATTGCTCCATTTCTGTTCTCACCAATTACTTCAATGAGTGCTGGGAAAAAAGGGAGATACCAGCTGAATGAAAGCACACAAAAATAACTTTCAGCGCTAAAATTAATAAGCCAATTAATGTCAACAATCTGAGTGAATTGAGTATATGCCGCCCCGTCCAGGCAAAAGTATTGTACATCTATCAGTTCCTGCACTGTGTTGTTCATTCCAAATTTTAGTCTATCTATGCTAGTAGTCTTTGGGAGATTACGCGCTGCCTTGCTAGTCGTGCGGATTAGAGCATTTAGTTTATTTTTATGCAGGATAGGTTCAAGAAAAGAGCAGCATAGAGAACGCGACGAAGTACAATGGCATATGGCACTTTGTGTTTAGTCCCGATACGTATGGGGTGCCAATATTACTAAGGGAGAAGGGCAGCGTTTGTACATCATCAATGTGCAGGAAGGCGGTGTGCCCACTGGGGAAAGCCCGGATGCAGTTATAGATTCTATGCCCTAAGTGCAGCTCTTTGATGCTCAGTAGAATCACACTTTTGCATAACCCTGTCAAATGCTTTGGTGAAGTCTATTGCCAGAACTGCTCTTTTATGATGCACCGTTCTATAGAAGACTGTGTGTGAAATCTGCAAGAGGGTGTCTTGTGTAGAGAGGTACGATCGATTCCCTCCATGCTATGGCAATATAGTCTATGCCGTTCCATGCGTAGCGTGAGATGGGCAAAGATAACATACTCAAACAGTATGCCCAAGCAAGAAGTCTGACATAGGAAAGATATGGGATCATGGTTTGAGAAATCTTATTAATCAGCCTGGCCAAGGTATGACAACAGAGTTGGTAATTCATGATGTCCAGCTGACATACAGGTGCTAATGTTCCAGCCTGAATTCCAGCAGGAATACTTTGACAGGTCAAAAGTGATGCTTTGACTATACAATGACACCAGTTAGGGCACATGACTAAAAGCAATGCCACGTGTTGCAGATGCTCTAGTGTTTTCAGGTCATGTTGGTTCCCTATGTGCTTCAGTCATGCAGCCCAGTCTACCGAAGAAATAGGGCTCTATGTTTTCGGATAAATCCCCAACAGGACACTCCCAAGTAAATTTTTAAACAATTTTTATTTTTCGAATAAGCTCAAATTTTAAAAGGGCATTTTCAACAATCAAAGGGCGTTTGGAAAGCTGACAATCAATCGAAAAGAGCGCACTTTCATCGGGGGCAGTAACCTTGTAAAGTGTACTCGAGTCCACTAAGACAAGATTTTGGGGTAATTATTGTATTCAAGTACTTGTGTTAGCATGCATATACGACTCCAAACCTCCCAAACATAACTTTCCGAACATTGTAAAACATGACCTTCCACACATTGTGTTCACACGTTTTTGTGTAGATATAAATTGAAATAAGATTTGAGAGCATTCAAAATACTAACAATTATAATATGTTCTTCATTTTGCACAAAGACGACAGAAGCTGGGAGAAAGAGCTGAGGAGTAGCTTGGCACCAACACTGTCCACAGGCGCAGTTCTCGTTTAGATTACAGACAAGCGGTCCAAACACACGCCTCTAGAGTGGGCGAGAGATTCGGTGTTCACTCACGTGAGTCGGTCAGCAGCGAAGTCGACGTGCGGCAACACCCGGGCGAGCTGCAGGGCCATGTGGTCCCTGACAAGGTCCGCGCAGAGAACACTTGTCAAAGCACGCAACCCCGGGGCGATCGCGCGTTACCACGAGGCAGCAGCGAGGCCCGCGGAAACCGCGAAATGTAGAAAACTTCCAAAAGCGTACGAGGTTGGGCAACTCGGTGTTGCAAAGTTTGAAGCAAACGGCAGCGCGTAAAGACAAGGGCGCAGTAAGGACCCTTCAGCGTCTTTTTGTTCAAATCCTAACGAGCTGCCGTCCACTTCAAACGCTGCTTCGCACGCCCGCCAGCGAAGAAGAGACAGCATCAGCATGGAGGAATGAGTGAGAGTATTCCACACGACCGCAGAAAAAGCAGTCACAGAGGCGGCCACTGCGAAAACTGCTCAAATTTTAGTTTTTGAAACAAAAAAATCTAGGAACTTTAATCATTCAACACGAGACTAAAGAAACGGTACTTCTTGTTTTTTGAGAATGCATTAGAAATGGCAAGTGGTCTCGGCGGGTCCGTCACCCCCGGAAGACTTTCCGGGGGTTTCCGGGGGTGACGGCGGGTCTCGGCTATTACTCCGCCCGCGCGCAGTTTAAAATTTTAAAGCATGCCATGCAGGCCAAAAGCCACACAGTCAATGCAAGTAGCACCCTTGCGGTGTACCCACATCGAATTACACAACTGTACGTGATTGACATCCGAAGCTCCACTGGTTTGTGTCAGTTGAAAAAAAAAAAAACAAAAGAAGAAACAGGAGATTAGCCAGCTATTTTTTTTTTTTGCGGGGATGGGGGAGGGGGTTCACACTCACACCGACCCCACTGGGATAGGGGCCGGGAGGGGGACACAGGCATCACCTTTTTTCTGTGACGTGACTATCAGCGATAGTTTGAGCAGATTGTGTACATGTATATCTAAGTCATGATACCCCCTCCTCCCCCTTCCGATGCGTATATGCATGCTTGTGAGGATAGTAAGTAAAAGTAAAGTAATAACACTAAGATACTGCAAACGACAGTTGCAGTGGTCATTTAAATGAACGGCCTCTCGTCGCATCATTGAATTGACTAGTCTTCGAAAACAGATGCGACGACCCGCCCGATCAGAGAAGAAATCAATATCTTATAAGCGGAGATGACCTAGTCCTCGTCGGGCGAAGTGCGCTTCACAAGTCAAGGACGGCTTCAGTGTGGAATGAGAGTGACTGCGTGCCGATGGGGACAATTTTGACTTTCAGCTCCATATGTCAAACATCCCTGACGCAGCGATAGCTTTTAGTAACTTTTTTTTTGTTGTTTACTGCGCGCATCCGCGCATGCTGGCGATACATGACTAGTCATTTTTTTTATTTTTTTATTATGCTGCACGTCAGCAACATGATTTCGCACGCGTTATTTTTCAGGCAGACTTTCTTGCGACCATCGTTGGCATTACAGTTGAAATGTGCATTTTGATATATCAATGAAGTACTGCCAGTAGCAGAGGGTTTATAGCGCAATCTGTGAGGGCAAAGGGTAAATAATGTTTGAAAAATGTCCACTTGGTCTCAATCAAAAATGCATCTGGAACCAGACTATCACATAGAAACAGCTTGTTCACTGCATATACGCGCTAGAAAATTGAAATACGCGGAAGAACGTGTAATGTGCTCCGTTTTTATTTTGAATGCGAGGTATTTCTTAGCGACCTCCGGTGACGTTGAGCGTATCTATCTATCTATCTATCTATCTATCTATCTATCTATCTATCTATCTATCTATCTATCTATCTATCTATCTATCTATCTATCTATCTATCTATCTATCTATCTATCTATCTATCTATTCATCTATCTATCTATCTATCTATCTATCTATCTATCTATCTATCTATCTATCTATCTATCTATCTATCTATCTATCTATCTATCTATCTATCTAGCCGTTACGACTATTCACTCTCCTGGCCGTTTCAATAATGGTATCAATATCAAAATTGGCGTGCCATAACATGACTGTATGACGAGCATAACTGACTAGTTATAACATGAAAATCATTATAATTTTGTGATGAATGACATGCTTTTCATTTCATTGTCTTGCTGCTCTTGCGGTACTTTCATTCGCATGACATTTTGGAAAACTTTTATGGTGTGCACAAGTGGATCCAGCCACTCATTTTAGGGGGTTCGCTTAAGGTAACCCCGGAGAGAGAAGGGCGTGGTCGTTACTTTTTTGTTTTTTTACTATCGAAAGTACTATATCACAGAAAATACTCAATGTGTGTTCAAAGAGATCCCATTCATTTGTCTTATTGGTGATAGCAGGTGGACGGCAAGCACTGAAGAGGGGGGAAGGGATACTGACAGGATTTGAGGCGAGTGGGCAATCACTCCTACTGCCCCTCTTATGGATCCGCCACTGATTGTATAACATGACTGCATGGCGAACATAAGTGACACACCCTAACGTGGAAATCATGACATGCCCGCCATGATTTTCATGTATGACTAGTCGGGACCACACGCCACGCTCATAGTGCGGTCCCGAACGTTTCGCTAGTTTCACATATACCAATATTGCTATAAGGGGACGTGAATGGATGACGAACGAAGGTATGTGACTGGTGCTAACATAATAATCATGAGATGCGTATCATGTTAGCGCGCTCACAGCTGTTTCCCTAGCTCCACATTTACCAAATTTGGTATCACGTGACGTGATTAGACGACGAAGGTAAATGACACGTCCAAATGTGATAATCATGACATGCGTGTGATGTAAAACATTACTACATGCTACCATTGTACTGTGCTCATGGCCATTTCGCTAGCTTCACAAATACCAAATTTCGTATTGCGTGACATGAATGGACGATAAAGGTAAATGACACGTCTAAACATGGTAACCATGACATGCGTACCATGTAAAACATTAGTACATGCCACGCGCATAGCGTACTCACAGCCGTTTCGCTAGCTCCGTATATACCAAATTTGTTATTCCGTGACGCGATCGGACGACGAAGGTAAACGACCCGTCGGAACATGATGATCATGATATGTGTGGCATGTAAAGCATAAGTACATGCTACGCTCATGATGCGTTCAGGGCCATTTCGCTGGCGGCACATATACGAAATTCGGTATTACGTGACACAAACTAGCGAAATGGCCGTGGCCATTTCGCTAGCTTTACATATACCAAATTTGGTATTATGAGACGTGAATGAACGACAAAGGTAAATGACACGTCTAAACATGATAATCTTGACATGCGTGTCATTGTAAAACATTAGTACTAGCTACACTCTTAACGCGCTTGCAGCCGTTTCGCAAGCTTCACATTACCAAAATTGTTATTCCGTGAAGCGATCGGACGACGAAGGCAAACGTCATTTCCAAACATGATGATCATGATACATGTGTCATGTAAAGCATGAGTACATCTACACTCATGATGCGTTTACAGCAATTTCGCTAGCTTCACACATGCAAAATTTGATATTACGTGACGTGAATGGACTACGAAGGTAAATGACTCGTCTAAACACGGTAATCAAGACATATGCGAGTTGTGTAAGACATTAGTACAACCTACGCTCAAGATGCGTTCGCGGCCATTTCGCTACCTTCGCCTATACGAAATTTTGTATTACGCGACGTGAATGGACGACGCAGGTAACTGACACATCAAAACATGATAATAATGGCATGCGTGTCATGTAAAACATTAGTACTTGCTATGCTCATAGCGCGCTCACAGCCATTTCGCTAGCTCCACATATACCAAATTTGGTATTACGTGACCTCAATGGACGACGAAGGTAAATGACACGTCTAAACAAGATAATCATGACATGCGTGTCATGTAAAACATTGGTACATGCTACGCTCATAGAAGGCTCACAGCCGTTTCACTAGCTCCACATATACCTAATTTGTTGTTCCGTGACGCGATCGGACAACGAAGGTAAACGACACGTCAGAACAAGATGATCATGATATATGTGTCATGTAAAGCATGAGTACATGCTGCGCTCATGATGCGTTCTAGGCCATTTCGCTAGCTTTCACGCAGGGGCGTCTGCTTAAGTAGGCCTTTGGTGCGTAGCGACACCACGGACCCGAGCTAACGGGGGAGTTTTGACTCCACCCCACATCTAGCCGTGCGTGGCTTTGCCGCGTCCGGGGAAAAGGGGAACCTGGGGGTTGCGCCCACGCTGGGTGATTGGACCTTTAAGGCCCCCCGGCAGAGGCAACACAACCCTTTGGCCCTGGCTTCACGTTATCCACCCAGGGGAAATCGGCAGTCGCCTTTTCCTATCTCTCTCTACATCTTCGTCTTTATCTCTCACTTTTTATCTGTCATGTCTTCTACTCTCTTCTGTTTACTTCCAAACTTCCTGGCGGCTAGGGTTAACCCTGTGCAAATAGCCTACCTTGGTCTAGGCGCATTTGGTTATAGTTGCGTTGTACGGCTGACGTCTGCAGGTTTTAGAATCCGCAAACTTGTAGCATCCCCTCGTTGGGCTCCGTTGTGGGTGGCCGCCAACGCTTCTGAAGGAAAATAAACAGGCATGCATAGAGCTTTTTCTTTGCTAAGGTGGTAGGCCACCTTCAAAAGTCATTTTTTTGCTCGTGAAATGAATTTTTAGGGTTTTGTTTTTTTTGCACACCCAAACATTCACATATATGTTGCAACAAAAATTATCCTCCTAGCATCATTTGTTTGCGAGTTACAGCAAGTTTTCTATACCCTATGCTTCTATAGCAAAACTGAATACACATTTCCAACTGTGGTTTTGGTTTCAAAAAATCGCTTTCAAAAGCAAGTGTTCGTTCGTCTATATTAATGCTTTTCAAAATACCTTATGCATTTTATTGTGACTGTTATATCAGATGACGTCATTGTATACATTGATGATGTCATTAAACACTCTAAGCTCACTCATGCCCTCATTGACCGCCTGCAAAACTACGGTGATGTCGCCATAAGGGCTAATGTAGGGAGCCTTTCTGCAATGAAAAAAGCTACTCTTGCCTGTCTTTTTCGTTGCAGCTTTACCGAAAAGCAGCCGAGACATGGCCTGTGTCCACTTGGACCGAAGAGCTGGTGCGGATATCAAAGGGTCGAAGCACTCGGCCAAGGAACATATGTACACAAAGGAGGACTTCCAAATGATGTGCTCAACAAAGTTAAAACTGTCTACATTAATCTGTGCTCTGATGAAGTTCTAGTGAAGTGCCTTCACGATAAGACTCAAAATGCTAATGAGTGTTTCAATGGTCTAATACGGCAGCGGGTACCCAAAGAGGTC